TGGAGACTATCCATAGACTGGCTTGTCGTGCTGAGGACGCTGCTTCGTTCGGTTCCAGTACCAGAGGGTCCGTGGACGTGGCAGCCTGATCTGTACGGGAGTCTCCCTGACGGGTAAAGTAGAACAGCACAGATAGCGTCTCATGTCTTTCCTAACTAAAGTTCAAACGTCGTTCAGTTAGGAACAAAACAACATCTCCCACTCAGACTCGCTTCTCCAGACGGAGGTTCTGATCCGACATCGCACCAACACACACTCCACCTCATTCCATTCCATTCGCATCCATCTCTAGAGATTCCTGTTAATTGTTTAAAATTACTTAGATAATAAATTTTTCTTAAACGTTCCAAGGTCTCTCTCTCTCTTCTCTTGTCTCTCAGTGCATGCAAAGTGTTTAATTTAAATTTCCCCGTAATAAAAAGAACCACTCTTCTGATTTAAGAAAGGCCCAGTGTCCAGAGATGGGACCCATGCCAGGTATGGATCATTAATATCTCTGGGCATTAATTAAATTGTAATACCCTTCATTTCCATTACAACTGCGACTCTCTATATCATGGGCTCGAGCAGTCGTCAATTCACCGCTTGCAGGTGGCTCAGCCCGTTTGCTGACAGGTAGGAGGCGCAGGGATCACATAACACCAGTCTTACAAGCTCTTCACTGGCTCCCGATCACTTTAAAGTGCTACTGATCTGTTTTAAGGCACAATACAATTTGGCCCCTCCTTATCTGTCGGAACTGTTAAACACTCATGTCCCCAAACGAAACCTCCGATCATCCTCTCTACATCTACTTTCTGTTCCCAAGTCTAGGCTGAAGTCCAGAGGCGACAGAGCCTTTTTTGTGGCCGCTCCTAAGCTCTGGAACAGCCTTCCCCTACAGATTAGGTCTGCTAACAGCCTTTCTGCTTTTATGTCTCTTTTAAAAACCTACCTTTTTACCCTTGCTTTTAACTGATTTTAACGTAAAGTAATTTTATGGTCAACTGGAAGGCTCTCGGTGTTTTATCATTTTACTTTTTACTGCTTGTCTGTGTACAGCACTTTGTGCAGTCTCTGATTGTTGGAAATGTGCTTTATAAATAAACTTGACATTGACAAACTAATAAAATCTTTTCAATTCATTTCAAATTTACTTATATAGCGCCTAATCACGACAAGAGTCGTCTCAACGCACTTCACATAGTCAACCACAGCTGGCGGACAGCTGTTCAGTGTGAGGAAAAAGCAGTGTGTATACAGTGAACAACTGTCAGCCAGCGTGTGTGTGTGTGTGTGTGTGTGTGTGTGTGTGTGTGTGTGTGTGTGTGTGTGTGTCCCACAGCAGCAGAGGAGGTTTTGAGGACACGCCATCGACATATATAATGGACAATGCATGTCCATTAGCTTGAATTATAAGGTTTTGTTTCCATTTGGGAGGTTACCACCACCGCCATTTTGACCATTTCACACGCCCAGACAATCCAAAAATGGGAAAAGAGGTGGAGCTGGTGGTTGGGCTGTTACGGTTGGAACAAATCAACAAATGTAGTTACTTTTAATTCAATACAAGTTTATTTATAAAGCGCCAAATCACGACAAGAGTCGCCTCAAGGACCTTCACATAATAAACATTCCAATACAGGTCAGTTCATTAAGCCAATCAGTACAAAGTTTCCTATATAAGGAGACCAGCAGGTTGCATCGAGTCACTGACTAGTGTCAGAGTCCTCACAGCAATCCTCATACTAAGCAAGCATGCAGCGACTGTGGAGAGGAAAACTCCCTTTTAACAGGAAGAAACCTCCAGAGGATCCTGGCTCAGAATAAGCAGACACACACACACACACACACACACACACACACACACACACCAAGTAATGTTACTATGGTTACATTGTGATTTCTTAGTAAATATTCTATTTGGTGAAAGATAAACTTTATTGTATTTATCCTAGTGGATCTATAATTAAACGGGTAAACTAGTAGTAGTGCATTCAATGTCAAAGAAAGTAAAATATTGTTATCAGGAGAGGGAGAATGTTTAAGTGATTATCAGCAGTGTGCTAGCCGATGGTCCCCTCCATGAGGCCACCACAGCTCAGCAGAACATCGTTGTAGCTTCTTCTGGGGAGAAAAACACTTAGAGAAAAAATAAAGTTAACAGCTGAAATTGCAGAAAATAATACAGTTAAAGAGCAGATTGTAGAAGAAAGTAGTCGAGTGTGGAAAGTGGTCTGTGTGTCCTCCAGCAGTCTAAGCCTATAGCAGCATAACTACAGAGATAACTCTGGATAACCTAGCCTTTTAGATGGAGGCATGTTGGAGGCAGAGCAAGGGAGAGCTGTCTTTACCGACTGTACACTCCACCTCCCTGTACTCCCCCACTTGTCCAGATCTAGGCTAACATCAGATTTTAACCATAGGCCCTATCAAATAAAAATGTTTTGAGCCTATTCTTAAAAGTATACAAGGTGTCTGCCTCACGGACTAAAGCTGGGAGCTGGTTCCGTAAGAGAGGAGCCTGATAACTAAAAGACACCACCAGTGTCATGGGTGGCACACTGATGCAGCAGGCCGTTTCTACGTTGATGGAGATTGAAGTTCCCTAAGTTATAACGAGGCTTTCTCTTTCTGCTGATAACAAGTGTAGACTTTAGTTAAATTCCTGAGGTTCGCCGGTAACTAACCCCGGGTTTCCACGGGAGCCGTCAGCAGCATGTTACTGCAGCAGCACGTCTTGCTCGCGTAAGCTGCTGCTTGGCCCTTCCCACGAGACGCGAAGCAGCAGGGGAGCAGCTGTCACCGACAGAGCACGAAGTCACACGAGTGACTTCGTCAGTAAACACAACAACAAGCAGGAGAAAACTACAACATGGCTCCAAAATATTTGTGTTTTTATGTTCTGTCCGTTTTATAATCGCCAATACGGACCTGAAAAACAAAGGAGACCGCTAGCTAGGTGATAACTTCTCACGGGGCCGCACAGTTAGTTACTTTTTTTTAAAGTAAAGCGACCGGAAGGCAGTACGTTCTTTATTCTGAAAATCTCGGGAGCTTCTCTCCATTTCCGCGTCCGATTTCCTGTCTTTCCTTCCCCAAAAATGTCGAACTTGACCCGTTTCAGAGGCGTCACGCGTAGGAAATAGAACCGGCGCGTAAAGGCCGCGACATGCTGCTCCTGAGACGCGGCCGACTCTCGCTGCCGACGGCTCCAGTGGAAAAGGTTCTGTTGACCACAGCGGTTCCTATCAGCAGCTATGACGTGCTGCTGCAGTAACGTGCTGCTGACGGCTGCTGTGGAAAGCCGGGGTAACTCTTACAATAACATACTTCCCATTTAAAACATTAGGGTTCCAGAAAGAGATTCCACATCATCCACATCTGCTTTTAAAGCAAGGTTGTCTCTTAAAATCAAACTGAGCATGAACAAATGTACACTCCTCCCCCACATCTAGTTGTTGTTTAACGGTGTACTGAGTTATAGTTTGGGATATTAAATATTTCTTTCAAATTCTCTGAAAGCCAAGATTCAGAACAGAAAATGCATCATTGCATGATGAAAGAAAATAGATCTTGCGCTCCGTCTTTCTCTCACTTGTGAACAAGACCCAGAGATACTTAAATTCCTGCACTTGAGGCAGGACCTCATCCATGACCCGCAGAAGGCATTCTACCTTTTCTGATTCAAGGCCATGGTCTCAGATTTAGAGGAGCTGGTTCTCTTCCTAGCCACTTAACACTCCACTGCAAACTGCTCCAGCAAAAGCTGGAGATCACTTTCTGATGAAGCCAACAGGACCACATCATCTGCAAAAAGCTGAGACCCAATCTTCAGCCACCAAAACAGATCCTCTCCACACCTTGGCGGCTCCTAGAAATCCTGTCCATAAAGGTTATGAACAGAATCTGTGACAAAGGGCAGCCTTGGTGACTTTAGGCAACTCCTTACCGGTTCATGTTGCCCATTCTGTGTGCATATTGACTTTCCCACGACTCAGTATCCCTTCCAACACCATTTAAATAATCCCTCTCTTGACAGCCAGCATCAGGTGTTGCGGTTAGCTCAAAATTATATGGTTGTGGTCCTTCAGCACCGAAATTGTGGGCGAATTCCTGCTCCGATTCTGACGACATCTCCCGTTAAAGCTCCGTGTAAACAGCCACTGATAAAGCCAACGTCTTCTCCCTCCTATTGGCTCGGTTCGAAATCTCAGGGGGTGGTGGTATCTGCATGGGCGAGTTACCAGACTGTGCAGAATTAAACAGAGGACGAGTCTGGCAGGCCAGGCTAGAAAAGAGCTGCCCAGCAGAAGTAAAGGGCTCAAGTCTCTAAACATCCAATAACATAAAAATGAAAAAGACACAAACTATGAAAACTATAAAATATGTGGAGAAACAGAGCTGATGCGGACCTCTGGCATTGCTATGGAAACATGTAAGCGCTGAGCATTCTTACTAAATGGCGTTACACAGCTTTAATCAAACAGGCAGTCTCTGTTGTAGTTCTGATAGCTTTGTAGTCCTCGTAGGCATGAATGAATAATTCTTCCTACATCTGGGAGATGAACGAGGCTCTGTCCTTTCCTTCCATTCTCATTTATCTAGCATCGATTAGCAGGGTCTGCCTGTGGATGCGCCCAAGGCTCGTCACTCCTCACTTGACTCGGTGAGGACTGAATCCGCCTGAGCTTCGTTTGGGAAACCGAATCAGGACACCTGCAGTGAACTGGCACACAGATTGAAGTAACAAGCCTCGGTTTTCTGAGCTTGCTTGTGGAACAGCCCTCTGGACCACATAGTTTAGTAACACATAGTGCGACGCTCGTTACATTGATGATTGAAGACGTCTCGCCGGATGATGTTTTCAGCTCAGGTTGAGGTTCTGCTGGATCCAGTCATCTGTTTTAGAGTAGAACCAACGTTGTGGTCACGTTACACTGAACAGCTTGTCAGCGGCTGTAGAAACCTGATTGTGTTTATTTACTTTGCTGAGCCATCTCATACTTGGTATTTTCCAGGTCCAGGTCTAAGAGGCAGCAGCCCTAGCAGGCAGGTCCAGGCTGTCCTCCCCTCCACCAGCTCCTCAGGTGGTGTCCCACAGCATTTCCTGGCCTAGGTTGAGATATAAGCCCTCCAACATGTCCTAGGAGACTTGGGTTCCTGCTGCTGACAGCAAAAGCCTGAAACACTTCCCCAGACCTCGACGTGGAGGAGGAGCGACTCTACTCCAAGTCTCCCACTTGTCTGAGCTCCTCGCCCTATCTAAGGCTAAGCGCAGCCGTCCTACAGACAAAACACATTTTGTTAGCAATCTTTTCTTTGGGTCATTACCAAAGGTCGTGACCATATGCGATGGCTTGTGGTTGGACCTCTACCCTGACCTGGAGTTGGCAAGTAGTCAGTAACCATGGACTCTGATTTGGAGGTGCTGACCTTCATCCCAGCAGCTTCACACTCGGTTCTCAGAACGAGCTGAAGGTCACAGACTGATGGAGCTCAGAGGAACTTATCATCCACAGATCTTCTAGCCACTAAATCTGGGCCTAGAAACTCTGTCCTGTGGTTCTGAAGAGAACCCCGGTGGAGTCCGACCCTGACCTGCAATAGGTCCGATTCACTGCTGGCTGCACAGCTCCCTGTGCTTCATGACCGTTCCGACCTAACCTGTGGTTTCTGTTTGTGTTCCAGCAAAGCACATCGTTAGGGTTGATGGAAAAGGTGGTCTCTTCAAAGGACTCAGCTCGAGGCTCTGCGCAAGCGCCATTGGCACTGTTGTACACAGCAAAGTTGTGCAGGTAGGCCAGGGTGGATTAGACCTTAACGGGTGTAGGTGTGTGTATCAGCTGAGAGTGACTCGTTCCAGCTTTAAATAAGTAATCACATTACATAAATGAGCTAATGTTTTTGTTTGCTTCTTACAGAAGTGTCAGGAACATGGCACACCTCAGGTAGGAGACCTACCCGACTGAAGCAGTGTCACTAGAGAATCCTGCAGTCGCCTGCTGGGTTTCCTCTCCACTTACCTCTGACCTTTAGACCCTGCTGAGGTTTCTCTCTGATTTCAGGTCCTGGGGGGGCAGCAGAAGGCTGTGGATGGCTCCCTGCAGCACGTGATCAACGAGGTAATGTTGTAACCAGGTCCCAGGAGAGGATTTTTGTAGCTTTGTGGTGTTGTCTCGGCTGATTTCTCTAGTTTTTTCAGACCACCAGAGAGATGATCGCCCGTTCCTGCGCCGCCGTCGTCACACACCCGTTCCACGGTACGCCCAGCCTGCTCGGGTACTGGTTCTGGTTGCTCGGGTTGAATCCAGCCAGCATGTTGAGTGTTTTTCTCTGACTTGTCTTCTAGTGATCACTTTGCGATGTATGGTCCAGTTCATTGGGAGGGAAACCAAATACAGGTGAAGACAGACTCTAGTGTGTTTTTAATGTTTGGAGAGTGTAACCGGTGTGTAACGCTGAGTTTGTTCCCAGCGGAGTGTTTGATTCCATCGTCACCGTCTACAGAGAAGAAGGCCTCCTGGGTTTCTTTGCGTGAGTGATTTCAATGTTTGTCTCATGTTTGCTATTGAAGTTCCTGTGCTGCAGGATGTTTGCTCCTCCTGCTGCATGTTTCTCTGCTCCAACCAGCGGCGTAGTCAGACACTCATCTGCGGCTGGGCTGAAGAAAATGCAATTAAAAGCAAGTGTGTGTGTGTGTGTGTGTGCGTGCGTGCGTGCGTGCGTGCGGGTGCAGGGTCCGAAATTAAATGTTTTACTCACCGGCCAAGTTGGCTGGTAGATGATGAAAATCTACCGGCCAAGCATATTTTTTACCGGCCAAAATTCTAAATGATTTAGATCTACCTAAAGCATGTTGATTCCAAACAGAGTGACAAAATAATTAAAACATCAATTAATAAGGAAAACAACTCTTTTGTCATTTTTACTATTTATTTATTTATTTATTTTTAGAGATGTTTTTATGAACTCTTTCATTGAAATCTAGTCAGACTCTTTGTTTTCTCTGTCCATGAAGTCTGGCCTCCTGCTTCTGACACCGTCTTTGTGCCAAAGCATTACAGCCTCATTTGGGTCCTAGTCCTTGATCTCTGGAGAACACAGCTGCACCATGAGAATATCTGAAAGTGTGTCAGGGCTAGGGTTGTCACGGTAACCGGTGTAGCGGTAAACCCCGGTAAATGAGTTGACAATAAATAATAACAGTCTTGTTTAAATATATATATATATATATATTATCTCAGTGAATTACCGTGGCTGCGGTGTAGGCGCGGTGACCCTTACCAGCCACCGTATCATCTGCTAGAAGTTGCCAGCGGCACATGCGCACTTTGTTTACGACCAAAACTTTCTTTAAGCTAAAGCTGAAATAATGGCAGGAGGAGACGGCAGCACTCTGGACATTTATTATCCCTCAAAGAAGACAAAGTCGGAAGTACGGGCATTTTTTGGATATTTGAAGAATGCCGAGGGACAGTTGTCTGTGAAAGGCAGCAACGCTACGTGGCCATCATAATGTAGCCTGTCTCACGACTCCGCCGTCTCCAGTTCGCCACTTTTCACAAAATCTTCTGGTTGCCACTGGTCCTGGTGGTTTTTCTTCCAGTTCGACGAGTTTTCTTTTGGAAGGCTGGCTGACTCCAGTTAAAAACCGCCACATTTCACCGCTAGTTTTAACACGAAGCTAACTACTAACTTGATAAACTGCTTGAATGGGATAGGTGGAAATGTCGTTGGATGCGGCGTTCACGTTTCGCGTACGTTTGTGTACACTGCATGCAGGCGGGAGGAGTATCAGAAATCCATGGAAGATGACTGATAAACATAACTAATTTGGTGCAAACATTTACTGGCCAGGTGGCAGGTAGAGCTCAAAAATTTACTCGCATTTGGCGAGTGGCGAGTGTTAATTTCGGACCCTGTGTGTGTGTGTGTGTGTGTGTGTAATCTCCTGCATTTGCTCTTGTGTCTTAATTCTGCATCCTAACAAGTTTCTGTTGCACCTGTGAACCACAACTGTTCTCCGAGCTTCAGCGCTCTGACCTGTGCACGCTGTCAGTTAGCAAGATTTAGTCGTTTTTTTAACGGAGAAATCTGAAGGCGTTTGTCATTTTGACCTGTTGCATTGAAAACCCCCGACCCATGCACGTGTGCAGACATTGAAAACGTCACATACAGAGAACGTCGTGGAGGTAACAGATGAATCAAGAAAAGATTCCCATCTGAGCATTGCTACATTAGCACACTGGTTGAAATAGAACATTAAATGTTCTATTTCAACCAAAGTTGCAAAATCACTTCTTTAGAGGGAAAACCAGAACACCGCAGACCACGGCCTCGCTGTGTGAGGATCTAAACACATTCTATGCCACAGCGAACACCATGAGACCGGACAGTGAGCGCACCGCGGATGACGTCAGTGCGCACACGGTGTCTGAAGAGGATGTGCGGAGGTGCTTCAGGAGGGTGAACGCACGCAAAGCTACTGGTCTGGACGGGATTCCCGGCGGCGTCCTCAGGTCACGCGCGGCTCAGCTGGCTGGAGTGTTTACACACATCTTCAACCTTTCCCTCTCTCCGTCTGTAGTCCCAGCCTGCTTCAAAATGGCCACCATTGTCCCTGTACCCAAATCCTCCGCCATCTCCTCACTGAATGACTGGCGACCTGTAGTCCTGACACCCATCGTGAGCAAATGCTTCGAGAAGTTGGTCAGGGACTTCATCTGCTCTGCACTGCCCGATTCACTGGACCCTCTACAGTTTGCATACCGCCACAACAGGTCCACTGATGATGCCATAGCCCTGACACTCCATGCTGCCCTGTCACGCCTGGAGAAAAAGGACATGTATGTGAGAATGCTGTTTGTAGATTACAGCTCAGCATTCAACACCATTGTTCCCTCGAAGCTGGACAGGAAACTGCAGGATCTAGGACTGAGCAGCTCCCTCTGCAGCTGGATCCTGAACTTTCTGTCTGACAGACGCCAGGTGGTCAGACTGGGCGGCACCACCTCATCCCCCGTCACACTGAACACTGGTGCTCCGCAGGGGTGTGCGCTGAGCCCTCTCCTGTAGTCACTCTACGCCCACGACTGCCCGGCCACGAGAAACTCCAACATCATTGTGAAGTTTGGGGACGACACCACAGTGGTGGGTCTCATCACCAACGGCGATGAGACGGCCTACAGGGAGGAGATCAGCGCCCTGACCCACTGGTGTCAGGACAACCGTCTCACCCTCAACGTCACAAAGACAAAGGAGATGATAGTGGACTTCCGGAGGTGCAGAGGAATACACATCATCATCAACGGCGACGCTGTGGAGAGGGTGAGCAGCTTCCGTTTCCTTGGAGTTCATCTGGCTGAGGATCTTATGTGGTCAGTGCACACGAACAATACAGTGAAGAAGGCACAGCAGCGCCTCTTCTTTCTCAGGAGACTGAAAAGATTTGGCATGAGCCACCGCATCCTCAGGACCTTCTATCGCTGTGCCATTGAGAGCATCCTCACTGGATGCATCTCCGCCTGGTATGGCAACAGCACCGCTTACAACCGCAAAGCTCTCCAGAGAGTAGTGCGGTGTGCAGAAAGGATAATTGGAGGTGAGCTTCCCTCCCTCCAAGACATCTACAGGAAGCGGTGCCTGAGGAAAGCGGGGAGGATCATCAAGGACTCAAGTCACCCCAGCCATAAACTGTTCAGACTACTTCCATCAGGAAGGAGGTTCTGCAGCATCCGGTCCAGAACCAGCAGACTGACAGACAGCTTTTTCCATTAGGCCATCAGACTGCTGAACACTTCGCAGACACCTCACCCTCACTACTGAAACTCCAACATTACACACTCCATACTGTACATTAATGCCACAGTTTTGCACATACCAACCTCTGTACATTTTATATCTCATCTTATTGTTTACTTTATTCATTTGTAAAACATGCATATACACACTATACACACGCTCACACACGTAGAAAAAAAAATACTAGCACACACATTAGTAATGTATATACCTTACATACTATACATATTATTACTTAGATTAGCCATTTTTTATTTTATATTTTGCTTGTTTCTACGTTACTATATTTTTTCACAACTCTGTTGCTGTGAAGCTCGCACACAATAATTTCACTCGCATGTACTGTACCAGTGTACCTGCCCATGTGACGTGACAATAGAAGTGATTTGATTTGGGACGGCATTATCAACGCGTCACTCTTAACAGCGTGCTGAAGATCTGGAGTTCAGAGTGCGTCTGTCACAGATGCGTTCCAGCGGACACTTGGCCCACGGGCACACAGGAGCGCATTTGGGAGTGAGTGATTTTGTAACTTTGGTTGAAATAGAACATATAGTGAGACGCAGTGACAGGAGCAGTCTTCGCTGTCATGGAGCCGTGTTGGGCACACACACACATGGATTCAATCAGAGCGCACACTGCACCAACTCCAGCGCTGCCTCCTCCGTGATTAAAGCATATGAGATGTTAGAAAAGTTCTTCATTCAAGGTCAAAATAAATATTACCTTACATTTTGAGATCACGTTAGATGAACCACACCGCAACTCACGGATTGCATATTCAGCCAGAACATAAAACGGCAATAAGTCTCCATCCGTCCATCCATCCATCTATTGTCGGCCGCTTATCCGGGGTTGGGTCACGGGTGCATTAGCCTAAGCAGGGAGGCCCAGACTTCCCCCTCCCCAGCCACTTGGGCCAGCTCATCCGGGGTAATCCTAAGGCGTTCCATGGCCAGCTGAGAGACATAGTCCCTCCAGCGTGTCCTGGGTCTTCCTTTAGGTCTCCTCTCGGTTGGACGTGCCCAGAAAACCTCACCAGGAAGGCGTCCTAACTAGATGGCCGAGCCCCTTCAACTGGCTCCTTTCAATGTGGAGGAGCAGCGGGTGTACCCCGAGCCCCTCCCGAATGACAGAGCTTCCCACTATCTCTAAGCGAGAGCCCAGCCACCCTGCAAACCAGCAGCAGGGGTGGGCATACTAGTTGCCCCGCATTATGATGCTTGTATGTTGGGGTTTACCCAGGTGAATGAGAGGGTAGCCTCCCTCCACTTGCGTGAGGGAGGACAGGTTCTGACTGTTGTCTGTGCTTATGCACCAAACTACAGTCCAGATTAGCCAATCTTTTTGGAGTCCTTGGCGAGGGTGCTGGAGAGCGCTCCTTCCAGTGACTCCCTCTTACTGCTGGGGGACTTTAACGCTTACATGGGAAACCACTGTGAGACCTGGAGAGGTGTATTGGAGAATAACCCCCCCCCCGATCTCAGTCCGAGCTGTGCTTTGTAATTGGACTTCTGTGCTTGACATGGATTGTCCATAATGAACACCATGCTCAGAGGATTAGGGATGCCGTCAAGCTGAACAAGCCCTATTGGGTCTTTTTGGCCTGTGAGACTTCAGAGGAAGCTGATCAGTGCCGGCAGGCCAAGCAAAATGCAGCTCAGGTGGTCACAGAGGCAACAATCTGGTCATAACAGGAGTTTGATGAAACGGTGGAGGAAGGGTTAGATTGC